ATTAATACTTATCGTTTCAGGATGCAGTATTTGTTTGTAATTTAAGCCCTCAGTAATATTCCAGCTGTAGACTGTGAGGCGAAGTGAAAACAGTACATACATGTACATACCATATTTGCCTTTCATGACGAGTGATAGCCCTGCGCACTCATACAGCACTCCATTTCTTTCATCAGCTCATTTTGAACGATATAAGATCATCGATATGCCTGAAACTTAAGCTAAACTGCTTGGCCAAATTACCGTATTTTGACTTTGCCAATCCGAGGAGAATTCCGATTCATATAGATATAAAATAGATTAACAAGGACAGGAACACAATTAGTGACCGTAACTACTTCTTGCCTACGTGTCTTACGCCCAGATGTTTCAATGAGGAAGTCCAGTATTTCACGTTTTGTTTTTGAAGGTCAGATGGCATTTGCTTTCATTATTGACAAATTGTCCCGAACCCCTATGTAACTATAGCTATGGTCACCACGTTTAGCAACAAATGCCCCATAGATCAATTATTTAATTTGACAGAATTAAACTAAATTCTTTTCAGAGATTGCAAAATGTTTTTGAGTGTGTATTCAAATACTTTCTGTGAATATACAGAAGGTCCTTCCTTGATTGTACTAAGTATTATGATAAACCTTTAAGATTTTATGGTGCATTGCTAGACCCAGCAATATGTCCCTCTTTCAAGAGGAAAGGACAGTTTTGAGGTTTTAGAATCAAGTCAAAAGTTCAGACGTTAAGTTCTTCCTAAGTTAATATACTGGTCTTATGTGGCATTATTTGATATGTTACTTGGGCCCATTTGTTAATGAATCAATTAATGTAGCGATGCTTGAGTTCCATATAATGGTTATGCAATTTGATTATGCATTATACCATCTGACTTAAATCACTCTGAAAGATATTCAACAGGTTCTTCTTCTCTTTTTGACCTTTATTGGGCATTGCTTCGACAGAATACATAATGATTTTAAAGTTGTGATCCCAATTTTGGTCCATTTTGAATAACTGGCGAAGATTGTTATTGTCAATAATAGAGAAGTCACCTTTGATTATGTGACCAACAGGGTGGAAGCAGTATGATGAGTCTTGGCAGTCACAAGTAGTGGAATTTACATCATGAGCTGCCTAGTCCACTTTCTGAAACACGTTCCTATAATTGAACATCTTGGATGGAAAATGAAACAGTTGGTGCCAAAATGCCGAGAGAGTGTTGTTGTTGTTGTTGAACACAGTCCTCAGCAATATTCCAGATAAATTACTAGGTTAATGAGGATAAAGGAAAATACCCCAAACAATTTCAATTTTGGCAAACAACGCACCAGCTGATATTTACTATTTTCCGTTCAACCATGTAGTTTTAGTACATTTGGTTGAAAACCAAAGGATCATAACATATACAGCCTTAATAGTATGCACATGACTATGTCGGATCACGACACGTGTTATAATGTATACCTCCCGGTCCAGTTTGTAACCCTCACTGTCTGTACTCCACTTAGGAGTGGCAATCAGCGGTCAAACTCCAGTTCATGAAGTTCTTATCAAAACACCTGTCACGTAAATGCCCCAGATTTGCCCTGTGTTACATCTACACGACAAATTAGTTAAATTAGGAAATGAAATATTTTGCAAAAATGTTTTGAGATGTAGTTTACTTTTACAAGGTTGTATGAGTTAATAATCCACTAATCCGAATCTATAATAGATACCATTACATACCATCTTGTCCTTTTTTATAAATCCAATGAAAACATTTATGTCATTGAGTTTTCTGTCCCTTTTGACCATAATGTAATTGGCAAGTTTAAGGAGAAACATGGCAAAATATGCGGACCTCGCTTTCGAAATGTCATGCTTGTATCCCAAGTACCAGGTTGTCCGATTCGCCATTGTTCTCGGTGCCTTAGGTTTGGTACCTCCCGATCTGTTGACTGACGTGGGAGAGCACCCGGGTTTGCTACCTGGAATACATCCCTTCTGACAATCTGAATAATGCAGAAGGCTGCATTTGGGAGTCTTCATATTCTCCGTAAATTGCTCGGTGGGTTTGACTAGGCAGCGCTTCCTGGGAGAAGTTCCATTCGCTGACTGGGCTGCGTGTTGACGTGAGCCTAACCAGCCTGACTGTGCCAGGATCACCCAAACCCTCTTTGCTGCATTTTGTATTTTAATCTGTAAATAGTAATGATGATAATAATTCACTTTTAAAACGCGTATGTCGACACTCAATGTTTGCTCGAAGCACTAGTTTATACTACCGTCATCAGTGGGGCAGGATACGCTAATCTTTTTGCGAATACCTGGTTTCATGACTAATTGATAGTGAGTCATAAACACATGCATATGATATACTAGTAGTCGGGGCCGCACAATGGACAGAGCTTTCAGTAGAGATTTAAGGCAATGGAAATGTTTTTTGTCGGTTTCATTTATATTGTATGACAACTATTTTGATCATAAATCCCAGTAACATCCGTCTCAGTGACCCCATTGCGCTGCACTCATTTTTGCAATGAATAAAATTAGGGTGAATCATAGTCTTTAATATACATTGTAGTCACGTTGTAATACTCATTGCCCCTTATTATAACCATGTGTCTTAAAACATGTAGCTTGTTGTACACGGTTTAGGAGTAACTAATCATGGGCGATTACTAAACTAATTGTTTCATTAATGTGCGCTTGTGCGATTGGAATACAATTTTAACCGACTACTGCTGTAGTTCCTGACGTAACGTTGATGTTCATCATCAATTGCATCGTGGAAACCCGTGAAGATCCGGTGTAGAATAGACCTTCAGCAACCCATGCTTGCCGTAAAAGGCGACTATGCTTGTCGTAAGAGGCGACTAACGGGATCGGGTGGTCAAGCTCGCTGACTTGGTTGATGCATTTCATCGATCCCAATTGCGTAGATCGACGTCAATGTTGTCAATCACTGGATTGTCTGGTTTTAATACCGCCGTTATATGGCAGGAATATTGCTGAGTGCGGCGTTAAACAACAAACAAACAAACAAAACCTGTAAATACTCGTGTCTCGATCTGGCTAACCAGTCATGTAAACATGACTTCGCATTTCCCCAAGTTACCGGGCCGTCCGGGCCTCCGATCGTCAATTCAGTTGCTTAAAATTTCCAGATGATGATGTGAGATTTATGCACCAGTCGCATTGGTCGTAGTGGTTAGGTTGCCTTGATATACACGTTTTATACAATAATTGAAGACGCGTCACAATCATATACACCGACAACTATAAACGTATTAATAGCTCTAAGGTTGTATTCAACACCCGCTCTCGTATAACTACTGACAATGACGGTCGATTCAGAATTCAAAACGTCAACGCCTCGAATAAACACCGAAGCCGATTCCTTGGGGACATAGTGATGAACCTTCATACAGTGAGGGCCAATCATTATATGAACGTCGGAGCTTGCGGAGTTTGGCCCTCACACTATGAAGGTTCATACTCCAATGAACTCACACAAAGTGAAAGTCAATTCTTATACATTTTTATATCACTCTGTTTACATGAAATGATGTAGACCTAGATCCATACACAATGCTATTTAGTACGTGTGACTTCATGTTCACACTGACAGCCATACAAAAACCCGCTGTATCGCGGAATAAAATAGTTCCTCAAAACGAGAGGAGACATGAACGTATGTATGTTTAACATGCTCTACAGGAACAACTTTTATAGTTCCTTTACAGCAAAAGTATTCAAATAATATCCTTATTGGATGAGGAAGATCTGTTAAGAACTACCTCACTAAGTCAGTTACAATGACAGCGCGTCGTAATACATTTATATCAAGGACAAGACGTCAAAATGGCCGAAACGATAAACGTGACGGGAGAGATTTCCGACGTTGTTAATGGACCCGTGGCTATTACAAGTTTTACACACCACTGGTCAATTGGACGATCATTGAAAGGTGATTGTAAAGATGTGTCAAATAGATACTCAGGTAAATTCATATATTGCTGTAGACTGTCACTGTAGCCTAGACACGGAGCGAGACGATACTACGATACTTTGGATGTGCTTTTCTTCGTTTTGTTCTCTAGGATGGGCTGTAGCGAGGACATCCTTGAACGGGCATGCAATCAAACTCTCTGACTTATCTCAATGTATAGTTCAAGAATAAATGTGACATTGTCCTAAATGATGAGAAAGAACGCTTCTGTATGTATTCGTGCTTGGAAATTCTCAGGGATTTCCCCTGGAGTGTTGAAGTAGTCCGTCAGTGTTGACGTCATTTCAAGATTAAAGTGTCGTGAAAAACGTATGAACGCCAAAATGTGTCGTTCATACACTTATGTGACCGCACATTACGTATTAACCTTCAGCAAGAATGGAAAGTACGTTGTGATTGTAAGGTAAATAGTGAAACTACACTTCCAAACGCACACGCACACGCACGACTCCTCATCCCCCGTTCCATTCAACCAAATCCGCACACTAGCACACGTACGCACTCCCCACCCCACCCCAACCAACCATCAGCATACACGTGCGCAAGCACATGCAAACCTCGCCCCCTAAGGAACAAACTAAGATTAAACGTCAGGCTCAATTATCTGCCCAAATATATTCTTATACATGTGGCGTAAAAGGCAAAATAGTGATGAAAACATAAATTCAGAAAATCACTTATAACACCAGGTGTTCGTGAAAAGGGTAAGCACTTCCTGCGATACCGGTAGCGCTCGCTAATTGTTTTTGACAAATTTAGAAAACAAAACAAACATTCCTAACAAAAAATACAACAGAAAGACATCAAAAGAATATTTAACAACGTTGGGCCATTTCCTTTCCACCAGTACAATGGAAGTGTCACCACTGTCTTCTTAGTCTTACAATTACGCATGGTAAAATCTACATGTACACATAATTCACATGAGAGCTTTCATGACCGTTCATTACCAACAGGAACCATTACATGACACTGTTCTTCGTGATAAAAAAGTACATATACCATTTCATGCTGAGGCCTGGTCTTTAATCAAACCTATCTATTACCCTACTGGGATGTCTTCTGACATCCACTTTGACATTCCGGAGAGAAGTCTGTGAGTGAACAGAAACTGACGTCACAGGTGACGTTGGTGCTGTTGTAGTGACTGGGCAGCTGAGAAGAATCGAAGTAGAACCGGGTAAGCTTATCGACGTGGCCTATTACATGGGTGAAGTGATTGGCTTCACATCTGAAGAGGAAGAAGTTGGTAAACAATGATTATTTTATAATATCTGTAACTTTACATGTAAAATAATGTATATTCAGTGATATGAATAGTGATGGGTTTTTGTACCTTCACTATGGATATACGTATTGCACAGAGCCAAAACATAGACAAATTATCGCCTGGCAAACAAACGCTTCTCATTTCAATCTCCTTTTTTGACTATTAAAGTAGATGATAAATATGGCGATAGCAGTACACAACCACACAGAAGGTAGATCATACCGTATTTCCCCTCGGTAAGCCTTTCAGCAGGTACTCAACAACAATTATTGATATTTTTATGAAATTGTGTGCTCATTCTTTACTAGAAAATATCCCGCCAAATATTCATGATTCCTTACAGTTGTTGTCAAGTATATTATAGCATGTTGTGCAACATGTAACCAAACCATGCTGGGGAAGTCATAACTAAACAATAGCTGCGTATCTGACTGTTTGCATTAGGAATATATAGAGGCCATCTTGAGATATGTCAGTCAAGTACTGGCATGGCCACAAACATTGCGCGGCAAACACTTCAGTTGACGAGTTTAAATAAATGTTACAGGTGCCAGATTAGGTTGACGTTTTTCATCTTGTGTTGTTATGTCTGTGTTGAGTTTATACCCAGTTGCTATATCATTGCTATTTGCTGATGTTTATAAAGAGTTACCTATTCTGAATAAGTGGCACAGCTGTACAGTTGTCCGCCCCGTTATTGTCATTGAGGTAGCAGTTGTCCACCAACAGTTTGAGGTCAGTAACATCCTTCATCGCAACCTGAACATAAACATCTGAGACAAGGTCCATCTTCAAAGGGTTTCCCATTATTTCATTTTTATAAGCTCTGTCACTGAAACACGTGATAACTGCTTCATGTTCTTCGACATTGCCAGATGTTTGTCCTGAAGCCGCAACTGGACTGATAGGAACGAATTTAATAGTGTCAGTTTCAGTGGGAAGATCACATTCAAGGATGTAACGCCACTTTTCACCTGTCACCAGATCTGTTTCGGGATCCCTTTCATATTCAGTCAGATAATTGCTGAACGTCATCGATGTGTTGCTTTTCTGAAACAAAATGTTCTTGTTATGGTCACAGATATAAACATTATTGAAGATGTTTGTTTGTTTGTTCTTTAGCACGGCACTCAGCAATATTCCAGATAGCCTGGCCTACGGATCCCTTTATGTCGCCGATTAGGACAAGCATAGAGGCCCCTTAGGACAAGTATGGGTTGCTGAAGACCAATTCTAACCCGGGTCTTCGCGGGTCTAACGAAGAAGTAAGAATGTTCAGAGATATCACTGTTCGTAACCCAAAGGCATTAGACGATATCCGTTAGGGTCATATGCGGATAGAGATGCAACTATCAAAGGTCAAGTAGGGACTACTTTCACTGTTTATAAACAAACATGGCGTCACCCTCGTCATTCGGCGATCGAGTCAGAATTAACCATCGGGAATCTGGATAAACTACAGGAATAAATGCTATCATCATCAAAAGAACATTCTAATATACTGAAAATCATAGTCTAAATGTGACGTAGCTAAGGCATTTTATAAGTTTTGGCAACTTCTGCGATATAAATTTCGAAACAATTTTACGAGGGCCCGAGGCCTAGCCAAGCGGGATCAGTAGCCACATCTATGCTTGTAGACCTCTTCGGCTTGAAACCTTCTACAAAAATTAAAATAGTTAGATTTGGCCGAAATATGTTGGAATTGTTACCTTGTTTCGTTTTTCGCTGTGTGCTCATCTGACTACACTTCTTAACGTTATGACAGGACAGACCGACTGTCAACAACGTCTGACCGTGGTCGTGATGTCTCATAGACTAGGGTTAGAGTAGCTTCCCTTTGACAAAGGGCAGTTACTCTAGCGGACAGACCGATGGATTGCCGCGAAAGGCAATTAAAAACAATTGTTGTTTTGCGTATATGTTGCTTCGACACTGTATAAGAAACAGATTTCAGTTGGAACTATATCGGCTACTGTCACTGTCCAACTGACACATCACTTACCCTGTGACGGAATAAATATTAATGCGCGCATTCCAGGAAAACTCGCAATGTTTTGGTAATGTTTGTGAGAGAGGGAAAGCGATTATGAATTAAAGAATTAAAGAATGACATTATATGATAAAGAGGTTATCACTCTTGTGTGTTTGGGGATGGTAAATATCCTTTATAGGAATAAACACTATGTATTTAGCTCGCCAAAGCTCGCTAAATACAATGTTTATTCCTAATGCAGGATATTTATCATCCCCAAACACACTCGCGTGATAACCTCTATTTACGTCCAAGATAGAAACAGATATAAACTTCGGGTCCACTATGAATCAAAAGTTTGTTTTCAAGCGAAGATGCCGGACTGTGCTGGGCATAAGCAATATCAAGCGGACAGCATCCCACGGGATGTAACATTTTTGCCTTTTCTGATGAGACATAGCACTGCCCACCCATACAACACTGCACTTCTTTCAACAGCTAAAACCCCCATCCCGACCCCCACCCGTTCTGTTATCATCAGAAAAGTGAAAAAAAGTACATAAATTGATGTCCGAAATCACGTATTTCTTATTTTTTCGATTAAATAGAAATGAATCAAATATAATCACGAAAACGATGCACTCCGATAACACAGTTAAACCGTCACTTATGATTCTTCCAATGGCACTTACGTCACATTTGAAACATCCATTAATGTGTTCGGAGGTCAAATGGTTGTAAAGTAACTGGCATATACATGTTGTAACCATGGTGAACTGACATATACGTGTTGTAACCATGCTGAACAGGCATATACGTATTGTAACCGTGGTGAACTGGCATATACGTGTTGTAACCATGGTGGCTGGCATATACGTGTTGTAACCATGGTGACTGGTATATACGTGTTGTAACCATGGTGACTGGCATATACGTGTTGTAACCATGGTGACTGGCATATACGTGTTGTAACCATGGTGAACTGGTATACACGTCTTGTAATTTTGTGTTTGAGATAACCGAAAGCACGTTCACATTTGGTGATTGAAGTTTACATTTGGTGGACAGAGTTCACAGAACGAAAGGGAACTTGTAGCCGACGGATAATTAATTATTTCTGGTGTTGTGATGTTAAACGTGATTGTAATAGTGATGACTGCATAGGCAATTTCGTCACTTGGCATTTTCAAACTGCTTTCAACTATACCTTGGTCATTGTATTGCAATCATTATACGAGTAGTTGAAGACGAGGACATCTCCCATGAGGACTCCAGGACAATATGTGTTCGACATGTAGATATTCTTACTGACAGCAACTGGGTAGGCTCGAGCCAGTTTGTGTATGTCCATCGTCACCCGCCAGGCCCCTGGTGTGCATGTCAGCTTAACTGCGCCAGGCAGAGCTGCGAATGGAACATCCCAATAGAGCATAACTTTTAAAGTAAAATGCATTCATTATCTGAAAGACAATCACCCACGAAAGTTGTCTTTCCATGTCAGAATTTTGTTCAGTGATAAAACGGTGCCATCTTATTTTGTAAATTGTCAGGCAATTCTGTACAGGTATTGAAAAATGATCACAAAAAACACTAGGAATAGGAATGTGTCATGTCCGCCAAAGGTAACTGTACGTGTTTGTATGCAATTGAAATGAAATACATCCTATCTTTATTGTTGGGTTATTCCTTACAATAAATATTTACTTATTTAATCAACATTTTCTCTTTTTTATTGTACTAACTGCATGAATCTGTATTATCGTGCGGTCAATCTGATTTAAATCATGTATCAATTTACCATTTTACACTCATTTGTTTAGACGATTCTCTGTTGATTACATGATTTGAGTATCTACTTAATTGTAAACTATTGTAATGTGTACTTATACTGTGTGTATTGTTTCTGTAGAAACTGATTTTGATATCGTAAGTTTCATTATTAATGTGCGACGACAGTAATAAGAGCTCAAACAAAGAAACATAATATATATACTTAATGCAAATGCACTGCCTATTTGTGGTAGCCCAAATCTTGACAGAAAATGTTCAACAAATTCTAGATATTGTCATGATATGAACAATACGTGTCTGTATCAAGAGACTGGCATGGATTACTTCTAATAAACAAAAGAAGCGAGAATGAGTTGGGTTTAACGCCGCTTTCAACAATATTCCAGTTATATCACGGCGTGTCAGCTTCATGTGAAAAGAAAGCCCGAAATCATGAAGGTCTAAGACGTTTACCACTTTGGTGAAACCCACGAGCACGGGTATGGTACTGACAAACATAGAAACAAAATCGGGGCGACCGGGATTTTGAACCTACAATCATAGATATTTGGCGTGCCCAAGGGACACAACTCTGCACAGCGAATTGCGGGGCCTTAGACGACTGGGCCACCCGTGTCCCTACACAAGAAGAACAAAGAAGGGAAGGAAATAGGATTTACACTATACACCAATACTAAGTTTTGAGTACAAACCTTCGACTTGAAGCATACTTCTACTGCCGTAGAACCCAAACCTTTCTTCATTGCCAAGGCCAGTGACACGCACAGCAAATGGGCAGTTTATTGAGTTACTTCTTATGGTGGTCAAGTTATAAGGGGCCCTGATTGTCGTTAATGCGACTTGGTAGTAACGCGATACCTTTGATGTCCATTTTGCGTCAACGTCAATGTTCGACGTGCAATTTGGACTGGTGTTGATATAGATAATACGTCCATATTTCATGCTGGTCGTTTGAATGTCAGGTATAATATATTCAACACCATAGTTATCTATGGCAGGGACAATGGAAGTGGAAACACTATATTTTTTATATTCTCCAATTATTTGTAGGACAAGTATTGGCCTTGTGCTGTTAATATATTGGATACCTCCTGTACCGTAACCACTCAGATCGTAGGATTCTCCTTCATCTTTACGTATCATGTTATTATCAAATTCTGAAATGAGGTGAACTGTTGTACGATTGTAAAATGCAATGACCCGAATCACACGACGTTCTGTCGAGGGGGCTACAACAAAGCTTGTTCCCCAAGATTCAACGGGAGGTACTTGACTCATAACAGAATCCGAGGAACTATCCATTGGAATATTCGCAGCAGCAGATCCAGTAAACACGGCTACTGGATGGCTACTCTGCACGACAGATCCAGTGAAATCACAGTACATGGGAGGATGAAGTACTGGAGGAGCTATCTGGAGAACGTCTCTCTTCTCTAAAACTGCGGTAAGGTGACTTCCCTGCTTGTATGTTGTGCCATTGAAGGTGTAGGTGCATCCCCTTGAAGACTTCAGTTGGACAGTGACAGTTGTGTTGTCTGAGACAGCGACGACGCCCAGCAGAGCATTATGCTGTACAGTAGGCACCATGTGTGTGACAGACAGCGACTCCACGGGTAGCACAGGAAAGGCTTCAGAACCCCCTTTTGTCTGTCGTCGATTCAAAATATAAAGTGTGACATATGCCGTGCATTCAACTTCTATAGCACGTTTCTGGACATAGCCTCCAAGTGCTAATTCTGAAATGAGCGGAAGGTTGAATTGTGTTACTGTGACATTGTCTTGGAGCAGGACATTATATACATTGCCGTCACTGTTAATCACGGTACAGTTGCCTTCTTGTTTGTGTGCGATGTAGACGGTGCCAGCTTCTTTATCTGTATATCCAGTCTTGAACACTGGGAATAATGAGGCAACAAATCTTTTTCCAGTGTACATGGGTTTACCTGGAGTTAAACAAAAGAAAGGTGAAATTGTGCATACCTGCATAGTGCATCTAATCCATATAAAGTAAACTACGGTTATAACGAACTCAAAGGGACTACTAATTTTAGTTCGTTATAACCGTACTTCGTTATAAGCATATATACAACATAACTACAACAAATAGTCGGGACCAAAAAAGTAAGTTCGTTATATCCGTCAGTGCGTTCGTTATAACCGTAGTTTACTGTACCAATTTGTATGTATTGATAATCATATTTGAGATTATTACACTCACGTGTATGTCAACTAGACATAAATTCTTACACGAGTTTCGTAAAGTTAGTATGATTCACATGTGAGTGTAATAATTTCTTTATTACCATTATTTCTTAATCCTTTTGACCTCCCCTTGAGAAAAGTTCAGTGATTACCACCGCTGTCCTAGAATCTTCAGCTTCGACGTCGTTTCTAGTGTGACTTCATTCCGACCTTACGCCAACATAATACACTAGTGCGCGCGAAGTGATATTTGCACCTAGCATATGCGATTTTTATGAACTCGGTTATTTCTAACCCTATGGGTAATAACAAACAACCAGGTCAAACAAGTTGGTTAATACCTGTTTGTAAAGAAACTGTGGTATTTCATCTTTGTGGTACATCTCCATTAGTTTTTTGTCAGTTTAGTTTGTACTGGTAATGCCATCTTAAGCTGTTTCTATCTTTCACCTAAAGGCCGTGCCTTGACATGTTTGTTTTACTTCTACTTCATTGAGATGTATGGTATACAGATATATTGTACTGTGTCATTGCCACACCCTTTCAATCTGTATCGTCATAAGATCCGTGTATTAAGGCTCATCAATATATATGGAAGTGAATATATGGGTTGTTAAACATAGACGTCGACGATGGCTGTTGTTAGTCGATGTGATTGATTGGTGTGAGTTAGAGGCTGCTTTTAGCACCTTTTAGGAACGACAGAAATGGGCTTCACACATTGTATTGAGGAATTGTGAGGAATCGAACCGGGTCATCGACGTTACGAACGAACGCTTACCCCACTAGGCTAACCCTAATCGGAAGTTTGAACCTGGCAATTACACGATTTGTAAGAAAGCCTTGGATTTAAAAATACAAGGATGCTATATTTATATATTTTTGTCAGTAATGTTATGAAAGTACTGTAGACAACCATTTATAATAACTATGGTCTATTACTTTTGTGTAAATTCTTACCTGCAGCAATTGCAATGGAGGCCAGTAACATAAAAGCTTTGAGCTCCATGACTTTCCCGAACAAGAGAGAGGTCACGTTGTGAATCTGAGTACGTAGAAGTGTGAGAAGTAATGCAGATGGTCCCTCGATTAAAACATACTTTGTAGAATTTCAGATTAGCGGACGAAAGATAAGGGTAAACAAGAAAATATTTCAAGTTATTCGATGGGGAGTTTAATGTTAATATGCACTCGCTGATTTGTTTTAAGGGGTCTGATTATTGTAAACAGATAATAATCAAAACAACGGGGAAGCCATGGGATTAATGAGTCAGAAGCCAGTTGAAATCCACAGTGAATAAAGGGTGTCGGACCGGGACATCGAATTTTCCAAAACTAATAGAACAGAGACATCGAATAACCGCAGGTGACCGGGACATCGACAGGTAGACGCTTTTGGTAGTGGACATATATGGCTGGAGGAAGAGGATTTGTGAGTAAAGAGCTTATAAGATTTTACTATGTCAGATACCATTTTGTTCTAAACCCCCACCAAATTAATCTGTGGGTGAGTTATCTGAGAAGTTAATCTTACAAGTAAATATAGAATAACTGGGTAAGAGTAAAGCACAACGTTTTGTCAGTAAACTTTAATCAAATGGGACTAAAGTGACCAACTGGGATGACTGTTACAATTAAGAATTATCCAATTGTGAGTTAACTGAGAAGTTGATTATAGAGGTAAAGCACTTTATTTTGTTAGTAGCTCCAATCTGCTGTGACAAAAGTGGCGCACGCGTACCATTACATTGAGATTATTACACGTGAGTGAAGGGCTAAGTGTTGAGGTCAACCGTCAAGATGACTGGACATGCACTGAGACTGACGACGTGATACTTATTACACAATGTACAGTGATCTCCATGTACATTCATATTGCCTGCAAAAGACTGTGTCCTTACTGTCCGGTACCTGGGGACATCGAATTCAGATTTACTCAACCACAGCAGGTACCTGGACATCGCACCCAGTTTGCCTTACAACGGTACAAATATTCGATGTTCCAGCCGATGGCCCCGAACGAGTGATTTAACCGGGCGTGATAATGAAGTGCTGAATAGGATAACAAAGTGTGTGTCATGCGACCCAAGTTAAGAGCGTCAGTTGATGGCGGATGTGTCTTCACATTTTGCATTGCTATCAATCCACACTTAGTTTGACTTTGTTATGCAGTATTCGGCAATGTGATGGTGGGGTGCATTTGTTTGTTTTTGTTGTTGTGTAACTCCACACTCAGCAATATTCCAGCCATATAACTGCGGAATGTAAACCAGACAATCCAACGACTGACATCAATTGGGATACGATGACATGCGTTAACCAAGTCAGCGAGCCTGACCACCCGATCCCGTTAGTCGCCTCTAACGGCAAGCATGCATGGTCCAGTGGTCCTTCAGTAAGGGAATCATACTCTGATGTGAAAATAACCCGCCATAAATGCATAAAATGATTGAATTTGACATGTATGGAATCTTTCAAATCCTTTTAACAGAATGTTTGAAATCTGTCAAGCCTCATTTTACATAACTCTAAATATTAAATAGAGCATAACTTAAAAGGTAAAACGTTAACGAAGTCACATTTTAGACAAAAAAAGATAAATAGAGGGCTGTTTAGTCGAAAATAAAACTGGTAAGGCATTTGGGAAGAACTGTAATTACTGGCTAATGTAATTTATATATATATATATATATATATATATATATATATATATATATATATATATATATATATATATATATATATAATATTATATATCAATCAATCTCGATTATCTGCCGAAACATTCCATTTGGCGTAAAGGCAAAACTATCAATGATGACACCAGGTGTTCGCGGAAACAGCAAGCGGAAACCAGACAAAACCTTTAACCATGCCTCCTTTCGTTTTCATGTTTCAAGGAGAAAAAAACCACAATGTATACTAAGGTTCAAATGTTGATGCTGTGGTGTATGGTATACTGTCGGGGATCAAGATATACATGTACGTGTAGTATCACCTTCCATAAATAACTTTTGTCCCGAGAGACGGTCGGGTAGCCTGTTGTTTAAAGCTTTCGTTCATCACGCCGCCGACATGGGTATTATCTGTGAAGCCAATTTCTGGGGTCCCCCGCCGTGATATTGCTAAAAGCGGCGTAAAACCATACTCACTCCTTTACTCACTCACTCAACCACCCAGCGACCCACCCACCCACTCACTCACTCACTCACGCACGCACGCACGCACGCACGCACGCACGCACGCACGCACGCGCGCACTTTTATCCAGAGTGAACGTAGCAGTGTGTCCGTCTTTTGCAATTTATCTTCCCTTCACTAACCCGCAAGTTTCACTGACGGTCCAACCTTAAACTGACGGCGCATGTGGTATGCACGATACGAGCGGTACATGCTACAATCACACTCCTAGACAGTTCACCAGCACAGCCTTCACCTCGATCGGCAATTTCACGCTGGTGTATGGACAGTGGATCTTTTCGCCTAAACAATGATCTATCTATTATCATGTCCTGAAATATAGTTTCCGTGATTGAATGATACAGCAGGGATGACCACGACTGCTCATACTGTAATAGTGAACCACTTGATAGCCGTTCGAAGCGGGTCGGTGGGATCAGCTGATCGCTTTTTGGACGTTTCGCAATCGCCCTTGATGTCTGAATATCATGCTTTTAAAAATGAAAGATATTTTCATTGTATAGGTACCCATATCAATGTTGTATAAACACCGTTCATCATAAAATAAAAGAAGTAGAAATCACTGAAATCCATCTTAATATTTATAAGGGTTAATTGGTGCATGTTGTTTAAAAAATAGTTTATGGATGAATGGTTTCTGTTTGTTGCCAAGTACAACCTTCATTACATTTCAAATATGATAAATAAAAGTTTGATTTTATTATGGCATTTTTAAAACTTTAATATTAGACAGTTTTATTTTTCTAGACACAGAAGTGCCAATATATTAGTTTAAATATGTGTATCCATGGGTACCTATACCGACTACAATTTTTCATCTTATAAATTAATAAACAATACATTAATATATAAAACGAGCCTTTAAGTTTTAAAGTAGATGTTGCACTCATAATTTTGAAACAGGTAGCTATTTATTGACGTTGAGTATGTTACATTGTTTGTAATAAACAGTAACATTTCTCTGGATTATTCGTTTCGAATTCGGAGTTAATTTACCTTTTAGTTTGGTGGTACAATATTTTGAACATGCCCACCAGATGGTACTGCTCTATTCACCTTAACATTGCATACAAACGTATTGTACCAGAATACACTAATGAGATAACTACATTCTTCACATATGGTTATATTCATTTATTGTTCCCAGCCTTTCCCTATAGGGTTGGCTTCTGACAAATATTTTGACATTCCTGCGAGAAATCCAATAGCGAACAGAAACTGACGTCACATGTGACATAGACGCTGTCATGGTGATGGGGCACATCGAAGGCATCAAAGTAGAAACGGGTAGTGTTATCCACTCTACCAATGATGTGGGTGAAATGGTTCGCCTCGCATCTGAAGTGAGAGGATAATGTTTAAGCAAGACAGATATATTACAATGTCGTTTTCCAACGCAATTACGATGCTATATATATTTGACCGTGTTATGCTACCAGCAATACTACACAAGATCAATAACAAAATACATGGTCGCCTTAGATGACGAATTTCCCATTTCAAAACTTGTTATGAATCTTAATACCAGATCCAAACCTAGTGTGACTACACATATGAGTACATTTTGAAATGATTACAAACAATACCATTAATATTGCAGTTACACATTCTAGTAATTCTACCGTTACTTGTAATATATTGATAACAAATCGCAGTAACATGCTTGAATGTTTATCAATGTTATAGCACGACCGACTTATAAAGAAACTGTTTCAAAAGGTAGGTTTGTTTGTTCTTAAAACAAAACATTGACAAGTTACCATCTGTTCAGTCAGAAAGATAACACTTATCTCTTCTGAGTAGGCAGCGATATATCCAATTTTTATAAATGTTTCATAGCCAGTTACCTTTTTTCAGTTGATAAACCAATTTTGATAGTTATAATTTACTAAACCAATTTATTCAAAAGGCAATAACCTGTTCTGAATGAGTGGCAAAGACGTAGTCGCCTCGGGTCTAATCTTTTCACTGACGAAGCAGTTATCCACCAATTGTTTGACATCAGCTGACCCTGCCATACCAACTTCAACATATACACGTGTGCCAATGCTGACCTCCAAGGGGTTTCCGCGTGTTTCGTTTTGATACAAGCTGTCCCTGTAAAACTTTATGACGGCTTCATGTCCTTCTACATTGCTGGATTTCTGAGCGGTGGCCGAGTTGTTGCTGATAGGAATCAGACTGAGGACATCAGTTGCGTTTGGGGGAAGATCACATTCAAGGTCATAGCGCCATTTTGCACCAGTGACAAAATGTGTTTGGCGATCAACGTCATATTCTATGAGGTAATTGCTGAATTTCAGGGACATGTTATTCGTCTGAAAATGAATGATTATTGGGGATTTTATGCATGATTAAAATGGTATCAATTGAGAACATATTTTGGCTTGGGGTTTGCAGTGAGTTGTGTGAACAAAATACTGCATGTTCATTCTTCAACATATCACCATCGAATGTTGTCAGCAATGAATAATATCACGGTGGCTCGTCAGAGAAGTATCTGGTCCAGGTAAACCGGTGACTGAAGTGAGCATGGATTCACGCCATGAGGGTACGATGAGTCACAGACTCAGTCAGATCCTCATGGAAGTCTTACAGCAAGGTGGAGCTAACGGGGGCATTATTAGACCTGGTCTTCTATAAAACTTGATTACAATATAATACCCAAACAAATGTGTATCGTGAAATGAAAATATTTCATGACGCCCTGTTTAACTGTCGGTATAGTGTCACCGAGGGGGCGGTGGGGTAACTTAGTCGTTAAAGCGTTCGCCCGATTATGTTTCAAGGTTTGTCAGCACGTTTCCCGCGCTCGTGGGTTTCACCAAAGTGGTAAACGTCTGAGATCTGCATCAATTCGGGCTTTCCTCGAGCTGACAGGCCGCGGTGAAACTGGAATACTTTTAAAAGCACCCAAATTACTCAGTCACTCTGTGTCTATGTCTTCTTTAAAACCATACTTAATTCAAAAGTACATGTGCATCGACACATAAAAGTCGTCATCATTACGACCCCTGAAGTAATCAACTAGGGGATCGCAGTTGCTAGGGGATGTGCTTCATACCTTCAGCTGTGTGTTGCAGTCATCAAAGGATATGTTGAAGATCAGTTGATTGCCTTGCAGGACTCCGGGACAAAATGAGTTCGACAGGTAGATGTTCTCACTGACAGAGTTCGGGTAAATGAAAGCTAGCTTTTGGGTGTTAACTGTAACCTGCCAAGTCTCTTGTGTGCATGTTAGATTAACCACGTCTCGCATGACTGCAGAGAAAATACAAAACTGAACGGTCATCTTAATTTATTGAGTCTCAGAGAGACAACAGGCTGTTTAATGTGAACATACAGACTGAGAGGTCAAGTTGTTAGAATTAGAATGAATACACGCAGATACATTCCAAACACCTACTGATGAAAAACTTAAAGGCGCAAACACCAGCTGTTCATGAAACAGACCCGGTGACAAGGCTTTGCCTATCTCAGTGCATGGCGTGCGAATTCTCTACAGAGCTGGTCCTAGGGAACGTCCAAGAAATACTACTCACCATCTCAATGTCCGAATAGTCCTGAGAACAATGTCTCAATGTCCGAATAGTCCCGAAAACAATGTCTCAATGTACGAATAGTCCTGAGAACAATGTCTCAATGTACGAATAGTTCTGAGAACAATGTCTCAATGTCCGAATAGTCCCGAGAACAATGTCTCAATGTCCGAACAGTCCCGAAAACAATGTCTCAATGTCCGAATAGTTCTGAGAACAACGTCTCAATTTCCGAACAGTCCTGAGAACAATGTCTCAATGTCCGAATAGTCCCGAGAACAATGTCTCAATGTCCGAATAGTTCTGAGAACAATGTCTCAATGTCCGAACAGTCCTGAGAACAATGTCTCAATGTCCGAATAGTCCCGAGAACAATGTCTCAATGTCCGAACAGTCCCGAAAACAATGTCTCAATGTACGAATAGTTCTGAGAACAATGTCTCAATTTCCGAATAGTCCCGAGAACAATGTCTCAATGTCCGAACAGTCCCGAAAACAATGTCTCAATGTCCGAATAGTTCTGAGAACAATGTCTCAATGTCCGAATAGATCCGAGAACAATGTCTCAATGTCCGAATAGTTCTGAGAACAATGTCTCAATGTCCGAACAGTCCTGAGAACAATGTCTCAATGTCCGAATAGTCCCGAGAACAATGTCTCAATGTCCGAACAGTCCCGAAAACAATGTCTCAATTTCCGAATAGTTCTGAGAACAATGTCTCAATGTCCGAATAGTCCCGAGAACAATGTCTCAATGTCCGAACAGTCCTGAGAACAATGTCTCAATGTCCGAATAGTCCTGAGAACAATGTCTCAATGTCCGAATAGTCCTGAGAACAATGTCTCAATGTCCGAACAGTCCTGAGAACAATGTCTCAATGTCCGAACAGTCCTGAGAACAATGTCTCAATGTCGGAACAGTCCTGAGAACAATGTCTCAATTTCCGAATAGTCCTGAGAACAATGTCTCAATGTCCGAACAGTCCCGAAAACAATGTCTCAGTGTCCGAACAGTCCCGAAAACAATGTCTCAATGTCCGAACAGTCCTGAGAACAATGTCTCAATTTCCGAATAGTCCTGAGAACAATGTCTCAATGTCCGAATAGTCCTGAGAACAACGTCTCAATGTCCGAACAGTCTCCAGAACAATGTCTCAATGTCCGAACAGTCCCGAGAACAATGTCTCAAAGATGAAATGCAACCTTTTTCTCTCGCACGTTTTCATAGGATATTGACCAACTCTGACATCATTGCGTTTGTAGCTTATTATCAATTATTCGTGGTTTCATGTCAGTGTTATGTATTATTGAAATATTGTACATGATTAAAGTGCTTTATTCTCTGACAAAGTTTTAAATTTCCACAGAGTTACAGTAAAACTCGAAACCCAACAACTAAGTAAATTTATGTATCTCTCACCTGTAGTTGCCCCCACAGCAGAGGACAACAGCAGAAACAATTTCACATCCATGACTGTTCAGTACCGAAATTTGGAGTATGTCAACCTATCAGTCGGACATCAAGTGGGAAATACTGCAGGTGGCCGTCTGTAACACAAAGTGTATCCGACACAAACCTGAAGATAGCCATGTCCAACTAATAAAGTTGCGACCTAATAACAAGGTAACCTCCAACTGTGCTGTATGACTAAAAAAATACACGTTGCTGAGAATTATGATAAACAAAAGGTTTACCTTATTCGCTTCAGGGTAATTTCCACAAATATTAACATACAGTGTGGGTTTCACGTTATCATTCCAGATGAAGCAGAGGTAAGCTGTTTTAAACGATAATAATGGTCCATGTCCATGCCATTTTTTCTTAATACATATGGTCTTGTGGAAATACGTCACAATATTATGTTGTCTAATTCGTGTATAACTACGTATTTCTTCTTTGTATTTTGAGAATATTACCTTTTACAGCGGCCTATAAATAAACGATTCTAAGCACCCTATCAACCCATGAGAACTTTCTCCACCAAAAATCAAAGTCGAACGAAAGTTCTAGAACTGTTCCAGTTTATTATGCTCTATCTCGTGACATCTTGATAACCGAATGGGTCACAATATAGCACATTGTAGTCAGGGCACATGTTTTGTCACATATGTCCACATATGGCAATGAACTGACGTTTACCTTGTGTGTATATCTATGTATTGGCACTCCTTACTCACTAGCATTTATTGTTTAATGAAAATTAAGGCCGGAGTACTGCTGTGCGGCGTTAGGCAACAAACACGCACTAAATGTCTTATGTAAGTTGTGTTAGCAGCGGGTGCTACCGGTAGAGCATGGAATGGTTACCTTTTTCGCGAAGACCTGGTGTCATCACTATTTTGCCATTCAGGCCCAATGGAATCGGGTTCGGTGTATATTCGAGACGTTGACGTTTTGAGTTCTAAATTGACCGTCATTGTCAGTAGTTGTACGAGACCGGGTGTTGAATACAACCTTACAGCGATTAATACGTTTATAGTTGTCGGTGTATATGCATGTGACACGTCTTCAATTATTGTATAAAACGTGTATATCAAGGGAACCTAATCACCACGACCAATGCGACTGGTGCATAAATCTCACAACATCATCTGGAAATTTTAAGCTACTGAAATGTCGATCGGAGGACAGGCTCGGTGACTTGGGGAAATGCGTAGTCATGTTAACATGACTGGTTAGCCAGATCGAGACCCGAGTATTTACAGGTTTTGTTTGTTTGTTGTTTAACGCCGCACTCAGCAATATTTCAGCTATATGGCGGCGATCTGTAAATAATCGAGTCTGGACCAGACATTCCAGTGATTGACAACCTACGACCTACGCAATTGGGATCGATGACATGTATCAACCAAGTCAGCAAAAAGCCTGACCACCCGATCCCGTTAGTCGCCTCTTACGACAAGCATAGTCACCTTTTACGGCAAGATGGGTTGCTGAAGACATATTCTACCCCAGATCAGTATTTACAGGTCTTTACCTGCATTTACAGGTACTTACACAGACATAGCTGGCGTTTAAACAGACATTCGTTCACTGTTCCCAGTCGTGAGGTTTCGAGACAATTTTCCTAAGTTTGCCCCATGTTTGCCTTAGTTTGCTCCATGTGGCAGGGATACGAATACGACCCTTAGGCATTGTGTTGCATATATCTCGAATTTATTAAGTTACAGTTACGACATCCAAACACAACAATATAAAATTATAAAATAGGGAATAAGTATGGTGTGAAATAGTCCTTTATTAACCCGATTTCATCTGACATCCATTTTGACATTTCTGAGAAAAGTCTGTCAGTGAACAAAAGGTGACGTCACATGTGACGTAGATGTTGTCATGGCGCTTGTTCAGCTGAGAAGCATCGACGTAGAACCGGGTAAGCTTATCGACACGGCCTTTTACATGGGTGAAGTGATTCGCCTCACACCTTGAGTAGAAGAAAACAGTTTGTTATACATTTAACATCTGCGAGACCGCCTCCGTGACCCAGTGGATAGATAGTCTACCCGGAGAGAGGAAGGTCGGTGGTACGATTCCCGGCCGCGTCATACAAAAAAGACTCTAAAAGATGGTACGTGTTGTTTCCTTGCCTAGTTCTCGGCACTTAGGGGCTAAAACATGGACTGGTCGGCTCGGAGTCAGTACACCCTGTCTGAGTGGGGTATCCATGCTAAACTGTGGCATGGTATCTCAGTTGGCTAGCACTGTAAAATCAGCAACAAGCCCCCCCCCCCCCCCCCAATGCGCCCCCGCCACCAACAACCACACACACACCTGGCTATAACCTACTTGACAAGCCTACACGCAGATTTATTGATATCTATTGATATTTATTGATATTATCCAGTTTTAGCTTTCTGTAATTTGGCATATCAATTTGTTAGGTACGTATCCCCTCTGAATAGTCGCTACAATTGTTATTTCAATTTAGCGATAAATATGTACGTGTGGAAAACTGCAGTGGAAATGATACCGCCTTACTGTTGTCAGGATTGAGTACTTGCCTGTTCTGAATAAGTGCCACAGCTGTAGAGTTGTCCGCCCCGTTATTGTCATTGAGGTAGCAGTTGTCCACCAACAGTTTGAGGTCAGTAACATCCTTCATCGCAACCTGAACATAGACATCTGAGACAAGGTCCATCTTCAAAGGGTTTCCCATTATTTCATTTTCATAAGTACTGTCAGTGTAAAACGTAACGGCCGCTTCGTGTTCTTCGACATTACCAGATGTTTGTCCAGTAGACACAGTTGAGTTGACGGGAACGGAATTAATAACGTCAGTTTCATGCATGTTAAGATCACATTCGAGGTTGTAACGCCATTTTGAACCGGTCACCAGATCTGTTTCAGGATCTCTCTCATACTCAGTAAGGTAGTTACTAAACGTCATTAATGCGTTGTTTGTCTGGAACAAAAACGTGTCGATATGATTAAAGCATGAACTTTTACTACATGGAGGTTCGCTATCATGATCAGGGTTACAGCATTCATAATGCTGGTACACGTAAGGAGGACATTTAAAAACGTGACACAAATGAAGTCCTATGCAATTCCCTATTTTGACTTATACCATACTCATGTTCCAGTGTTTGTTGTAGGTGAACAATTGATACGCACACCGAGTCGAGAACACCTGGTATCATCACTCTTTGATAGTGTTTGTTTGTTTGTTTGTTGTTTAACGCCGCACTCAGGTATATTCCAGCTATATGACGGCGGTCAGTAAATAATCGAGTCTGGACTAGCCAATCCAGTGATTGGCATCATGAGCATCGATCCACGCAATTGTGATCGATGACATGCATCAACCAAGTCAGCGAGCCTGACCACCCGATCTCGTTAGTCGCCTTTTACGACAAGCATGGGTTGCTGCAGACCTATTCTACCTCGGAATCTTCACGGGTCCTTTGATAGTGATTCAGGGGATATCATTCACGATATATTTATTCCTATTGCACCCAGCGTTACTGTATGTTAAACATACTTTGGGCCTGTGGCCTTTTCAGTCTGTAAATAAAGAATGGTTGATTGATTAATTAACGCATGTTCATGATGTTGTCGGAATCGTACAATCGACTCTGCTCTTAGAAGAGATGCAAAGAGAAGAGAAGAGGTAATGTGTGTTTGTTGTCTAACGCCGCATTCAGCAATATTCCAGGTATATGACAGCGATGTGTAAATAATCGAGTCTGCACTAGACAATCCAGTGATTGACATCATGCGCATCGACCTACACAACTGGGACGTGATGACATGCATCAACCAAGTCAGCGACCCTGACCACCCGATCCCGTCAGTCGCCTCTTACGACAAGGATGGGTTGCTATAGACCAATACTAACCCGGAATCTTCACGGGACGGATTAATAATGAATAAAAGGAGTGATGCGGTTAAATGAACCAGTATCACAATGAGGACCCCGATCCCAAATATACACTGTGGACCCTTCACAGGACCAAACAAATTGCCATTCTATTGTGGCACACATTGTTTTCTATCACTGTTACTTTAAAGTACGTATTTGTATGAACTGTCAATCCATACCTTAGTAGGGGGCACGGGTGGCCCAGTCGTCTAAGGCGCCGCGATTCGCTGTGCAGAGTTGCGTCCCTTTGGCACGCCAGAAACCTATGATTGTGGGTTCGAATCCCGGTTCACCCCAATTATGTTTCTAGGTTTGTCAGTACCATACCCGTGTTCGTGGGTTTCACCGAAGTGGTAAACGTCTGAGACCTGCATCACTTCGGGCTTTCCTCCCAAATTAAGCTGACACGCCGTGATCTAACTGGAATAATGTTAAAAGCGGCGTTAAACCTAACTCACTCACTCACCCATACCTTAGTCTTTGTGTTGCAGTCACTGTAGGAGAAGTTGAAGACAAGCAGGTCACCGTCGAGAACCCCTGGACAATATGTGTTCGACATGTAGATATTCTTATTAACATCGACCGCTGACGCTAGTGCTTTTGTATCCAGGGTAACAAGCCAGCGTTCTGGTGTGCATGTCAGTTTGAGAGAGTTTGATGGGACTGTAAAACATGAAAATGCAGGAACACACAAAAATGACCACGTTGTCGTCATACAGACCAATGAGAGATTAAATATAAAAATAAACATATTTACTCGGAAGTATGAAGTATTTTCTGGAAGTATTTGCAATTATGATGCATCAGGAAACAATGGAATTGATAATCTGAAAACATGCCTTGGTATATAGTGAGTGAGTATTGTTTTACGTCCCTTATAGCAATATTCCAGCAATATCACGGCGGGGGACACCAGAAATGGGGGCTTCACGCGTTGTACCCATGTAGGGAATCGAACCCGGGTCTTCGGCGTGATGAGCGAACGCTTTGACCACTAGACCGCCCCACTTCTCCACCTTGGTATATACAGTGAAGTTCTGTTTGTTCGGACTTAGTATTCTAGGCAATTTTTTCTTAGAAACGTATGTCCATCACAAGGTCATTTCTAACATTTTTGTCTTCAACCATCGGGTATAATACGGCCCGGATAAGCGGATTTCACTGTAAATGCACGGTACGTTATTTATGTTATATTACTCTTACTCGCATGGGCGGATACAGAGGGGGGTGGGGGTGGGGGTGGGGGTGGGGGTGGGGGTGGGGGTGTTGTGAGGGTGCGCACTCCCCCTTTTTATTTCGAAAAAAATCTTTATTTCTGTATAAATTACCACCAAAGACAATAAATAGATCTTAATTGTGCACCCCCCCCCCCCCCCCTTTTCAAAAAAGCTGTATCCGCCCATGACTCGTGTAGTTTTGATACAAACCTGGATCCCGAGACTCGGTCCCACTGGCATAAAATGCAAACATTTCATTATGGCCAAAACCAGCTACATGCACAGCAAAAGGACATGCAGGGGAGTTACTTCTTATAACAGTCATGTTATCAGGGGCTATGAAATTGACGGATGCTATGTGATAGGAACGTCCTGAATATAATGTCCATCTTGCATCAACGTTAATGCTTGATGTGCAGTTACTACTGGTGATTACACGGACATGACGTTCATATTGCATGCGTGTTGTTTGAATGTCAGGTATAAGATATTCAAATCCATAGGTAGCAACGGCAGGGACGATGGATGTGTAAACACTGAATTTTTGAAATTCTCCAAATATTTGTTGGACAAGTATAGGCTTTGAGCTGTTGATGTAGTGGATATTTCCAACCGTCAAGTAAGCTGCTTCATAAAATTGCCGTTCATTCAGTAGTCTCATCTTAGGCCCAAACGCTGAACCAAAGTGGACAATTGTATCGTTGTAAGCTGCCAAGATCCGAACAGCACTATCTTCCCCATCTCCTTCTGGATAAATATAGAAAAATGTATCCCAGGTTTCAATTGGAGGTACCTGACTCATAACACCATCTGCATTATCAGTACGTGGTAGATAGGGCAAGGCAGAAGACCCCGAAAACACGGCTACTGGTTTGCTACTCTGAACGACCGACCCTCCTAAATCACAATATATTGGTGGATTGAATTCGGGACGAGCTAGCTGGAGAACTACTCTTTTCTGTAAGACTACGGTAAACTGGTTTCCCCGCCTGTAAGCTTTGCCTTGGAACGTGTAAGCGCACTTCCGGGAAGATTTAACTTGAACAGTGACAGTTGTATTGTCTGAGGCAGCGACGACGCCCAGCAGTGCATTATCTACCACAGAAGGCACCATGTATCTGCCAGACAGTGACTCCACGGGTAGTACAGGAAAGGCTTCAGCACCTCCATTGGTATGTCGACGGATGAGCATATAGAGCAAAACGTCGGTCGTGCATTCAACTTCTATAGCACGCCTCTCGGTATACGATCCAAGTTTTAATTCTGATATGATGGGAAGATTGAATTGTGTTGTCGTGACATTGTCTTGTAGTTGTAAATTATATACTTTGCCGTCGCTGTTAATCACGGTGCAGTTTCCTGTCTGTTTATGTGCGATGGAGAGGATACCAGCATCTGTATCCCGAGTGGCTGTTTTAAATACTGGGAATAGTGATGCCACAAATCTTCTCCCTGTGTGCCGAGGCTTAGCTGGAGATAAACACAAAGCAGATTTTGTGCATTCTACAATATACTGTCCTCTTATTGTGTATACACATATAACACATTATTTCGCATTTCAATGCAAATTGGATATCAGTGTGTTTATTCATAAACACATAAACAAGATAAGGTGCCATTTGAAAATATAAAGAGGACATTGGAAATTAATATAGCATAGACGCGTTAGATATGTGAAGTGCGATGCAGCTGCATTGCCTAGCGTGCTATAAGGTTTTACAAACATGACTTATAGACGGCAACAGCATTGTTAAACGACATAATCTTGAAACTAGAACCTCTAGCTGTAAAAAGTAGATCATGAGTGAGTGAGTGAGTGAGTGAGTGAGTGAGTGAGGTTTACGCCGCTTTTAGCAATATTCCAGCAATATCACGGCTGGGGACAATGGGCTTCACACATTGTACCCATGTGGGGAATCGAACCCGGGTCTTCGGCGTGACGAGCGAACCCTTTAACCACTAAGCTACATCACCGACACTCATTTATATAAAAATAGTATTATCGGTATTGTCCTGACACTCAATGAAGGTCACAATTCTCACAAATTGAATAATACGCATTTGCCATGTTAGTTCTTACCTCCAACCATGCCAATAAGGAAGGCCAGCAATAGTAAGCCTTTGGCGTCCATGGTTGTCCTGAAAAAGACAGCAACCATGTTGTGGGTAAGTAAAAGTGTGTGACATTCTGCAGATGGTCCCATGACTAAAACATACATTGTAGATTTTATCATCTGAACATAGATAAGGAGATACGGAGATAAACTAGATAACAATCAGAAAATTTGAGAGGACATTGTCACATGGCTCAAACCGTTGCATTTGCCCTATTAATCCTACTATTAAAAACTGATATATTTTATGGTAAGCTAAGTATATTTCAAAACTTGTTAATTTTTTAAAACAAATTATGATAAGATTTATGTGTTAATTATCTGTCTTAGATAATAACCAAATTTCTCATTCAAATCTGATATAACTTTCCTGGTAATAGTTTGTTATCAATACATTAAACGTCTTCATAGCATGTGCACAGCCCATGGACCTATCCGTCAGGTAATGTTCCTTCATTTAGCTTGTATAGATATGGATCTATGATAGTAAAAGGGGCACAATCATTTTAGATGCATACACCCAGCTTTAATTCAAACACCTTGTTCCGAAACAATTTGTTTTCGCTGCTTACTCCAGTAAGGAGTGGCAACTTGACAGCTGGTTAGGTCACAATCAAGGACATAATGTGGGTTTATTATCTATAGCCGCCTAAATTTGCTGACATCTTATTGGCGATGATTATTTCGTACGATGGAGCTATGGGTAATTGAATGGAAATGCATTTTCTAAAAAAAAAATTGCCAGTTTTTGTTTTCGGTTTAACGTAAAATATGTTGCTTGTTTATGAAAGATATTAATGTATTTTTAATCACGCCTTGATTTCCTACAGTTGTGTAAGGGATTTCGTCACAAATGATAAGAGAGATGTAGGTGATTTTGAACAGAACAATAAAAATAGCAGTATTATAAAGCAGTTTATAAAATAATAAATAAAAGACCATTTTTACAACACCATTTTTGCAAAACCAAGTCAACTTGACATGTACTTACATCTACTGGAGGAATGAACTTTTCAGTTACTAAGATTGTGGATGTTGGACATAAGTGCGTAACTTTTTATTTAACCTAACGAAAAAAAGGAAATGTTACCAAACTGAAAGTTGGACACGTTGGGTCCAAACCCCGAACAGTGTTTACAAAATGGCTGAGAATCAATCGCCCAAAGACAACCAACAACGTTTGGTGAGTAATGCACGTGCTACATTACCCAGATCAGTGGAACTTGAGTTTAAAGTGAAACCATGCTGCACTTGCAGCATGCCAGCTTTCAAATAAATGGATATAAAAGGATGTACTGTTCATTCACACCCAAAACCGTTGGACATTGACAAATAACATGCTGTTATTAAAAGTACAAATAGAACAAGCCATTGGCATGATACATCAAGAAGCAACGCATGACCACTTCGCAAGGAGTTTGGGCTGTAGCCGAATGACAGGCACCAGGCTGATGGTCCGTTATCGGCACACTGGATGGACGGGAGACGCGACACCTCATCGTCGACGTTGCTGATGAGGCGGCGGCCTTGATTTCATACTTCAACAGTGTCTTAACTTAATCTTAAGGTTTTGATAAAAAATATTCTTGTAAGGTAAATGCATGCAAAGATATCATACTAAATCTCAACATGATTGCTTTTGACGTTTAAGTCATCATTGTCACGAGTGTCAGTTTATGAGTTAATAATGAAGTGCAAATGCGTCCAATGTAGTAATAAGATACAAATGTTTATTTCGTGAAAGGTCCATCTCCATGTGACAAAGTCCTTCTCACCTGGTGCGGGAATACCACACCGAGTGTACAGAGCACAGGACCTGCTCTCACAATCGGGTTCAGGGCAGATGATCAAGGCGTGGGGCAGGGTTTCGGACTGAAATATGCACAGGTGGCAGCACACGATTCAGGTAAACTAGTTATAACTGATGGGCATAAAGACCTATCATTAGATTATATTACTTTTGTTGATATTGCCCGCCACGTGAATGTTGAATGTTTAATTATATGTAAAGCATTTGCACAAGTATTGAATGTGACGTAAGTAAGTGTTTTGTGAATGTAAAGTGTTTGGCAAATGTATGCTGGTGACCTGAACATGTGTTTGTAAGCTCGAAAGGTGTGAATGTATCATGTTGTCGAGCGATCAAAAACCAGAAATAAACGAATGAAAGTGTGAAACGAAAGATTTCCTTTGTAGACACTTAATGCCAGTTCAACGTGAGTCATCAACAATTGTTTAAATATAAGGGACGCGACAAAACCCTTACCATAATCATGAGAACTATCTGCTAAAATCATGAGAACTATCTGCTAAAACCTGACCCCATTGCACGATTCCAACTACGTATATCATAACATCATGTATTTGTGACAGTGCAAACTGCGGGGCAGGATAGGCACACATTTTCGCTAATATGGGTTTATAGTCACTACTTCATAGTGATTCTTAAACACATATGTATGTTGTAGTTGCTATCAAATCAAATTTTGCCAGTGATCTGATATCGTTCAATAATTGTTCAAATAGCCAGTTTCCTTACACTGATTTACTCCTATGAAATGTGAAATAACAGAGACCAGTGAAACCGCCTCATCGGTTTCATATTTAGATCTATGCATTTAGATTCATACTGGTAATAAAGAACCCACTAGACTGTATACCAAGAGGGATTACTTCAACTTTCCGATTGTGTCTTTCATTTGTAGTTTAGGTAGGTATTTTTAAAAGCATTATTAAACGATATCAGAACATCGTTATACCTGAATCAAAATCTGAACACCTTGGCCAAAATATGGACATTCCATTTACCATTTACCTACAACCCTTATCCTTAAGCAGATATGGTCCTTTCTGTTGGAAATTCTTCTATGCACAGTACTACCACATACATACTTATGGAATAATATCACTATTTATTTTCGATTTCTTTTCGTTCGTGGATAAATTGAGGGTCAACAGAAAGATTTTTTATATAATTAAAAATTGAAAGAACTGTTGTTAAATTTGATTGCGTCTATTTAACCATCAATCATTTCTGCAAGTTTTTAAAATTGAATCTGTGGTTGGGCAATTTTGTGTAAAATGAATAGGTTCAATGAAGATTGGGGTAAGAAATGAATGTGCAACTATATGACCTCTACCATGTTTGAAATGTTGTATATTTGTGCCGAAAAAGCAAATTTATTAAGATATCTAAGATGGCAGTAGTAAGCACGAAGCATTTTGAATGACAGTCACGGACCATTGCACTGATTCCGTCAAAATCATCGTCTGTCCCTCGCTTCAATAGGATAAACATCTGAAACGGAAGAGACTTTCCATACCTCATATAAAGAACCGTCCTGCATTTTCGGCCCCTTATTAGACATTCCAGAATTTATTTTGTTTCCAATTTTGAAAGGAGAACTTTGTCAAAATATTTTTGAAAGCGTAGTCTGGAGAATGAAAGTCACCAGTTTGAAGCTGGTGGCATAAAACTCAAGACAGTTGCTTTCTGATTTGCTACTGTCGACTTCGTGGTCGGAAGTCAAAGTCCGCGAAAGGTCATTCTGACGCGGCCTGTAATAGGCTTGTAATCTTCAGAGCATAAAATCAGATGTTAATGAGATTGATCTATTGTTAGTGTGTATTTTAGTACTTTGCGTTCCCGATTGGAGTTTAAAGAAGTGTTGCGCCTATTAGTCTTGCCAGGACCAGATTCATGCTGATTATGACCTTGTTGGTAGTAGCTACTAAGAAGCATTCGTCTATCTGGTGTAGTGGATATAGTGCCTCAGAAAACGGAAGGTCGGTGGTTCGATCCCGTGGCGGCGTTAAACCAACAGAAAAGACAGTACTTGTTGCCCAAACTGGCGTTGGATTGATGCAATAAAACAAGAACTGGTTGACTCGGAGTCAGTATACTGTGTCTGCGTGGGATATTCATGTTAAACTGCGGCATGATATCTCAGTAGTCTACAAAACCGGCATTAGTCCGAACTAGTACAAGCAGCCACATATGCACATCGCTATGTACGTGCAATAATTTTGAACTTGAGGTTAAACCCCATTTCACCTGCCTGCACATGACGTTTTTGTGAGAGACGCGTACATAAAATGCTATGACTAACCCTCATACAAACACACCATGGCCCTTTGTTCTCACTGCCCAAGATTTAAATTGCATGAGCGTTGTTACTCATATGTTATCACAATTCAACTACATACACGCACACAAATTTACAAAAATAATGTCCTATTATAATAAATGTGACATTATTTAACCAAACGAAAACTAATTTCCAAATTTCGTGTTTACATTATTAACAATGGTGTCTATAACATTATCTATATTTTCTCACCTGTATCACCATATTTACTATATGAATACAATGGATAGGTCTCTGGAAGGGGGATTTGGTAACATTTCACTTTGAAAGTAATTCTTTTGACAAGTTGTTTTAATGTCCTTCAAATATATACTGAACAGAAAAAGAAACGTCGTATTTTTGGATTATTGGGACATAATTGTGCATGATCAAAATTGTTATTTTTCTTCATGAATATGTTTTTTAGACTTTAAAAAAGCCAGTTGATGACATTCAACTTATAATACCGGTTGCGTTCGGTGTAACAGTTGTGAACCTTGGGAACTGTGAGATGCCGGTGGGAGCAAGTTGCAAGTGATGCACAGGAAAATTGAAATGCACGTGAAACATGTGCCAGTGTTCTGTATAAGAACCACCTGACACCTACTGAGAAATCAGTTGCTTTGTGAAGACAGCAACCATGCCACGACTATCCTCCCAACAACGTGAACAAGCCATCGGACGATTGAATGCCGGACAACGTACCCAAGTCATTGCCAATGCTTTTAACTGCAGTGTACGAACCATTGAAAGACTTCGGATTCGTTACAACACCATTAACAGCACCAATGACCGTCCACGCACTGGTCGTCGCCGAGTCACAACACCAAGACAAGATCGCTTCAGCCTGCGGCAACATCTGCAGGACAGATTCACCACAGCGGCACAGACAGCTCGTCAGACCATTGGCAACCATCAGCGACCCATCAGTGCTGACACTGTTCGAAATCGGCTC